CCTGGTTGGAGACACTACAAGTTATGGCTGCCAACCGATGTCAGTGGTGTTCTTGTTGTCAGTTTCTGTCCAGATTGCCTGAGTGAATGTCTGGAGGTGTAGGCACCTCGGAATGATTGTGTTAAGCTAGCACTAAGTCCCTCCCCCATCCACCTTTATTCGTTTCTTTACAATAAGGCTTTCAAATAAGTCATGGCTGTACGGCAGTGAAGCATTGGTGTTGAGCACTGATGTCATGCTGTCGTTGATGATGATGATGATGCTATGGATACCGCTGACTCAAAGGAATCAATCGAAGCCCAATTCTGATGAGAGTAGGCGCTAAGAAATGAATATCTGAGTGACTGGAGTTTATGGAGGAAAACCGTACAAATGGTATTAATGATGATGCTATGGATACCGCTGACTCAAAGTCGAGAATCGAAGCCCAATTCTGATGAGAGTAGGCGCTAAGAAATGAATATCTGAGTGACTGGAGTTTATGGAGGAAAACCGTACGATCAAATGGTATTAGGTGCGCAATCAAAAAAATAATTATGTTATGCACCTTTACGTACACGAGGGAGAGAGAGAGGACTGGATGGACCGCCTCAGTACGTCTTAGGGGCGCAAGAACTTCCATTTGCTCGTCAAGTTTCGAACTACTCATAAACCTCAAGTAGCCAAACATTCCTAGCACCCATAAAGGCCACCCTCGGTGTCTGAGTGGTCGGACCGATTCAAAATAACCGTTGTACAGTTATCAGCATTTTCAATATATGCAAACACATATCCCCTGTTTTGAAACTAAGCACAATTAAAAACGGACATCATAGTGAGGTTGTGGTTGGATCCGGAAAACCTCAGCCGGATGGACGCATGAATCCTCATACAGTCATACAAAGGTCGGACAAGTGATCCTTTCCTCAACAGTTTCTGGCCGTTTCTCACAGAACAACGCATCCACCGACCCATCTGTTCAGCTGGCGAAATTCGACAAGGTACGAAACATGTGGTTTGCAAAAGGTTCCCGCAACTGAATCGCATACTCAGGTAATGAAATGGCCAACATCCTACTGGGGTAACGAATTTTTAAACTGAAAGAATTCAAGTTCCATTCTTCGTGTAAACACTTCTTGAAGTGAAGGATGTTCAAACGTTTACGTGAACAAAATAAACTTGCAAGGATGCATTGTCCCCACAAAAAAGTAAAACGGTCGACTGGTGAACAAATGGTCCCTATGTGATCTCCTCCCTTCCCACCAGAGCTACTTTCAGTACATGCTAATAGTGACGCTTATGAAAAAGGTCAACAACCTTTTCGAGGGATGTCTGGAGGAAACTGAGACGGCCTAATGTCAACCAAACACACCTTGCTGACAAACTACGAATTCGCACTCACAAAAAATCCCCGATATCATTTCAGTACAGCACAAGAACGTTCAGTATAATTTTTCGCCTCAACGGTTAGTCTGGATGAGGCAGTCGGAATCCAGGTGTCCATCGAAAACCCAGAGGTGAATGAGTCATTAAAAATTACATGTTAGCAATGGTGTATAAAGAGACAGCTAAACTTCTACTTAAGTGCATACCTTCAGCAGTCAAGTCTTGCCTGCCAAGTTGCTAAGCTTGCCTCAATTCGTTTGAGGTGAAAATTGGAAGAAACTGCACTCTACCACTTGCCTGATAATCCATCCCGCAGTGACTCGTTCCGTAACATGGCTACGCACCTTAGTACGACCAACTTTGACTATTAACTTGCGCAGTTGTCTCCTCCTGTTTGGTTACCAGCCACATCACACTCTCTCTCGGAATGTAGCTTCCGAACATAACCCAATGAGCACATCAAATTATAACAGAAGATTTTTCGATGTGAACTACACAAAGTCATTTAAGGTCTGATATTAGACTCCGGGGCCTAACCATGAGGAAAATTTAAATCTGGTAATCGCTGAGCAGGAACGTAGCTCAAGAGAAAAGCCACTGACCTACACCGCATCCGGGTGAACTGATGGGCATTTACCTCATAGATCCGACGGATACTTGCCCTCACAACTGAAGTACACTGAGTGCACTGCATATTACTTGCGACAAATTTCCAAGAAAGTGCAAATTAAAAAATGAACTATGACACCGGTTGATGCATAACCATGAGAAGGAAAACCCACTAAATAAAGGAACTAACCATGACGGTTTGAGAGAGGCCAACTAGTTGACTGATGGATACTTAGACCCTAGCCGTGCAACTCGAATCTCGGTTTCAGTACACTTACCTTTGGAGAAAGAACCTTGATAATTTCATTCAGGAACTTGAATTTCCCCAACTCCGAACGAAATGAAGGGTCACATTTGTTCGCCAATGCTTCCAGACACTAAAGTAAGGTATCCAAATGAAATGTTGATCCGACTCACTGCCAACGCGCTCAAAGCCTCACGTTCTTGAGGTGACTGAAGCTTGTGAGCTAGAAGACGGAGAGCAACTAAGGCTCCACTTTGATCCTTGTTTATGAGTTCTGTGATAACCTTGAATGTGTCAGAATTGTACTGCTGATTCGAGGGGGCCACAGCTTGATCTTCGGAGATGGAAAACAATCGGTATGTTTGTTTAACTGAGATGGATGAAATACCTAACAGGTCATCAGCACTAAACAAGACCAAATTCAAACACTCATACCAAAGGCGGAAACAGGTATTTTGAAGCAGCTGATGAAACGCGAGGTGACACGAGATACCAAGAAGAATGAGGCCCGTGTAATGACCATCATCCCTGGCCAAGTATATGTGCACCACTGTGCACACAATTTGGTCACGGTCATATCCACCGAACAAAGGTAATTGTGTACACTGATCGATTTTCAATTGACGTGAGAGTACCTAAAGCAATTTCCTATCCTAGCTACTAGCTAACACTAATGCTAAAAACATGGAAATAGGAGAAGCAAATTAACAGATGAGCAGACTTGATGGAGACTGTACTAAAAAGGTTGAATAACGACCAGCGAAAGAGATTACCCCAGTGCCCCAAACAGAAAAAGTAATGGAAACATCAATTGCATTTATTTTGGTACGGGGATGTAACTCAGTACTCAGATAACATCTCTTCAACTCTTAACGTCACTAAAAAGATGGAAAATGAAGTAAACCACCAAACAGTTATGCCAAAAAGAATCATCTATCATTTAGTTACCAAGAATTAACAACCAGTTGGCTGAATGGAACAGATAATCACCGAAAAATCTACTTAGGAATGAGATCTTCAGGTACGTGAGGGTGTCCATCACACATAAATCAACACGAAGGAAAACCCGTGCACAAGCACTGACCAGCACTGCTTAAAAGATCCTGCGTCAAATTTGTAGGTGGCCAGTTAACCGGCAGTTGACAGAAGTTTTCGACCACCAATATGGCGGCTCAGAATTGAAGTTTTGAAGTTTTTCCCGGATTTTTGAGAATTGAAGTTTTGAACCTTGTCACAGGCTTGTCAAATAAGGTTCAACGCTACTTCTCAAAGCAAGAACGACAGCTGACACAACGAGCTAACCATGCTTAAGCGTGGTGCTTTTCAAGTATAACTGATGAACAAGACGAGACTGCAACACATGTTATGTAGAACATAACAGCCTAGGCTACAATCGAAGCATCTTGCTTTGTGTTGAAAAGTATATGTAACCAGGACCAGGTCACAGTCATTATGGTGAATAAAATGGCATGTAGTTATCGGTAAGAAGCAAAAATAGCACCTATTATAATCTTATCATGATCGTTGGGTGATGAACAGTGTAGAAACGGAGAACAGTGCTTGGAGGGATCAGTATTATTGAGATCCGGTCATCAAGTCACAACTCAAACGTCTATTCGTATGTCGTCATATTCAATAAGAATTTTGATTTCTGTGCTGTTTATTTGAGGGAGAAAGCTTGCTTGAGGGCCGTTCCCCGTGACTACACGGTATGTTTACTTAAGGCTGCGTTGGAAGTTATAGAGCCTCCATATCTCCCAGTAGATCAAGAATGTGTCGGCCGCGTTATCATAAGATTTTCCACTGTATACAAGGTCAAGGTTAGTCATTTATAGTTCAGCATTTACGTTCCGTTCCCAAGACACTTGCGATATTCCCAATGACCAATGAAGTTTGTTTGCGACTGATTTCATCTTTGGTCCACGGAACTTTCGTCATCTTGAGGCTCATCTTGATGATAATACCATGCTGCTCAAGACTGGAACTCTTGGCCTCGGATTTGCAACACCTTCCCAATCGTTCACACAGTTCAACCGACAAAACTGACTGCTCAAGCATTTATCTACCACATTCAGTCCACAAAATTACGACAGGACCCGAGTTTTATGTGTGCAAAGTATATGCAAAGCCCCTCTCAACATTGATCTGAGCCATCCACTGATGACTTCCACCGGAAGTTATATCCTCATATCCGTGATTTCGAAAAAAACGGTTGACAATTATGGCACTCAAACAACACATAAGCGGTATGCTCATCAATGGGCAACAGTCAAAGACATCTTAGCCGATGAGATCATCGGATACAGCTGGAAGGTATGGCAACAATTCTTCACCACTAGTACCCGTGGGACTTCGGCATACATTACCTTACTTCCGCTGCCAGTTGCGAAGCATATTGGTCGTAACAAATCAAACCCTTCATTTTCAGGTGGCAAGTTTCATCTCTGTCAAAGACGAGACCATAAAAAATATCTTGATGAGTACATGTCTTGCATCAGCTGACGGAACAAGGATCGCTTTCGGACCGTGTCGATCTGTGATATGATAGACATTCGAGTGACACTTCTCAAGTGGCTTTATTGGTTTGTTGACTTGCTTTTGTACTCAGTTGCCTAGCTAATGCTACACTTAAGTTCATATGGAACTCTCAAACATACAAGCAGTTCAAAAAGTGATACATCCGTTTTAGTCACTCACGCACTTGTGGTTAGACAAAATCAGCACCGGGGTCTACAACACGAAAAGCTGATACATCGAACGACTGACGTATCATTCATATGGTCATGTATGTAACAGAAACCTCGAACGTTGCCCAGCAATAAATCTACCGACTGTTACCAAACTTCTCCTAAAACGAAACCTCGAATGTTCTGTGATTCCTTCCTTATTCCGAATTTCTCCAAGCTCCATTCAAAGGGTGAATGATACTCAGTGAAATCCAAGATGCATTTACGTGTGCTTTATTTGCCGGTCCTACTGAGTCCCCATTCTGGAACGCATTTTTCATCATTGAACGATAGTTTCTACATCCCGTTGTCATGTTTTGGTTACTAAATGCTTCGTAGATACCGAAATCAAGTGGCATAAAATATTGTAATGCTGAAATCGTCCAGCTGTAACACCCTTTCGGTGCCTAGCTGTTATGCCGTCCGAAGGAAACATTTTTGGCTTCAGTACAACTAAACTCTATATTGAGTTCAATATAGACTGGACCCTGTTACTTGAAATTACAGCTAAAATTGAATTGAAAATTATCTCTTGATGATTTATAAAACTCCGAACTGGTTTTTGGGCGACATCCACTATGAGAAATGGTGTCCATAACATGGTATGGTCGCGGTCACTAGTTCCCGAGATGCCTCGAGATGGTTCAGTGTCTAGAGCGCCAACTACTGACCAGAAGGTCAGTAGTTCGAGATCACCTCTGCGACTCGACTGCTTCTGTCTAGGTTTCGGCAACCTGTGAGTGATCCCCTCAGTTAGCATGGATGCTATACACCAGAAGGGTGTTGCCGCTGAAAGATCAAACTTGACATCCACTAGCTAATTTACTCTCCGAATGTTTTTCAGAAAGCGTTCTATGGTGAATTCGGGGACTGGCAATCAAGTCAATTTATCAACTATAAACCATGTACCATAGGTACATTACTTCCAGCTGTTACAGTTTCGATTACCAGAAAGTGAGAAAGCGTGGGAGATACAACCAGATATTGGAGTTGATGGCGGATCTACTTAGTTCGGGAACTGGGTAGATAAGAGTTGAGGGCGATAGCTTTGATGCACGAGAGTCCATGACTGCGCGATTGGGATATGTCTACCAGTATTACCAACCATTTGTAAGTTAAGTCCACGGGGTCCGCAGCCAGGGAGTGGCCAGTTTTCGACCCGAATGAGTAGACTGGTTACTGTTTCCGTACATCCTTGACAGGTCATACACTGTTCACCTCTTGGTCATTTCCACTCAGCACGGAGCTGGCAGTCTTCTGGCATACGGAGCACATGTCATAACCAACGTAACCCATGAAGCGTGAGTAATTCATCTACCGCAGGAGGGTTACTTTTTCTCCAGACCATCCGGTGTACCTCAGCATCGCCAATCCGATGTTTCCAAAAAAGCCGACCGATGCTTCAGAGAAACCGATGGTCGAACACTGACAGCTTCGGTATGTTCCCTGCGCCTATAGGCCACATCTCTTATCAATACACAGTATGGATTGCACTGGCGCAGTGTAAACTCTGCGCTTGATAAACGAACTGACGTCACGTCAGTGCAATAGATGTCGGAGGTTGACGAAGCTGCCCTAGCTTTCCAGACCTCAGAAGTGACATCGTATTCAGTCAGTTCACCTGAGCTCATACAACTGCTCAGGAAGACAAATTCACCTACCACGTCGATTGGCTTGTCTGAAAGTATGAGAATTGGGTTTGATCCCACCCAGTCTTGTAACAGCACCTTGCACTTTGCAGGTGGAAGTCGCATGCCAAACCGCACGACAATTCTTTTAGGTTATTTAAAATGGTTTGCACTTTGGAAGAATATGAACCAATATCATCCGCACAATCGATGTCTGTGAACGATGGAGGGTCTTCAAAATACTGGTGTTCAAATAGCTCCTGATGAAAACTTTGCCGATCTGGAATAAGATGACGACATCGTCCTCGTCGCACAGGTGTTTTTGGATGAACTAACCAGACCCATGCCGTCCATTGGTGTGCGCTTTACACATAATGAGTGTACAACGTGCGATTTGGTATACAGTTACTGAACACGCCATCTGCAATCATGGGGGTCACCCGAAGTTGTGATCCCGAGGTGGCTCAGTGGTAAAGACACGAACTTACTGACTGCAATATCCGTGGTTCAAACCCAACCGCAGCATCTCGACTGCTTGTCTAGGCTTCGGCAGCCTGAAAGTATCTCAGCCCTCGTGCTTGCTTTAGGTGGAATAGCAAATAATGTTCCAACTGAACGACTTATATATTATTAGTGAGATGGCCGAAGTGGTTAGAGCGCGGATTACTAACCGGAAGGTCCGCGGTTCGAATCCGACCTCCGCCACTCGACTTCCCCTGTCTAGGCTTGGGCAACCTGGCAGTATCCCAGCCCTCGTGCTTCCTTCGGGTGGCATGGCAGCTAGGCACCGGAAGGGTGCTACAGCTGAACGCTTTATCTTCTTTTATCTTTTTATTAGTGACCCGAAATTAAGGGGCGTTTTACTTGTCTTAAAAGTTGTACTGGTTGTAGTGTGAAAGATGAGGTTACTGAACAAACCTTCAAAGCTCGCATCGCGCATGCTAATCTGAGGTACCTGGAAAGTCAAAGCGGTATACCTGTGACGCTCAAAAGATGAATGAACCAGGCTACAGTACGGGCTGTTTTGGTGTATGGATGAGACTTGGCCTGGTCGAGCTTGGAACTAAGACGTCTTCAAGTCTTTTACAACCATGATCTAAGAACCAGAGCTTGTGTGGGTTTGTGTACGGCGGTGAAGCATCAGTGTCAACATTGATGTTGCAACGGGAGCTTCTATCGGAGGATGCGACATGCACCACTGCGTTGTTAGGATACTGTCAGGTTGTCCAAGCCTAGACAGAGGAAGTCGAGAAGCAGAAGTCGGGTTCGAGCCACGGACCTTCTGGTCAGTAAATTCGCGCTCTAATCACTTTGTCCATCTCTTGTGTATCAGGCTACAGTGCGGACTTGTTGTATGGCTGTGATCCTTGGCCTGTTTGAGCAGCGGAACTTAGAGGTCTTCAGGCGTTTTACAATTGTTGTCTCAGGTTCACAGCTCGTGTGGGTTGGTATCGGAGAACCAGCAACGAGGCTGTTAGAAAGTGTGTTGTGTAACGGGAGCTTCCATTTGAGATTGTGTCCGGCACCAGAAGCTGCGTTGTTTAGGCCATGTATTACACATGCCGAATTATCAGTTGCCGAAGGCAATGCTGTCTTCCGTCTTCAATTCAGAGTGGATGAAGCAGAGAGATGGAAAACACTTGACTGGGCATAAGGGTATGAAAGATATGAAAGCTATGAATACCGTCGATGTGATTCGTCTTCTGGGACGTCATCATCATCGACAGCATGACATCAGTGTTCAACACCAATGCTTCACTGCCGTACA